TTTGGTGCTTTTGGCAGTGTGGGCAGGTGCCAAGTCCTGCTGGAAAATGAAGTCAGCATCCCCATAAAGCTCATCTGTGGAAGGAAGCATGAAGTGCTCCAAAATCTCCTGGTAGACGGCGGCGTTGACCCTGGACTTAATGAAGCAGTGGACCAACACCAGCAGATGACATGGCTCCCCAAATCACCACAGACTGTGGAAACTTCACACTGGACTTCAAGCATCTTGCAGTGTGTGCCTCTCCATTCTTCCTCCAGACTCTGGGTCCTTGGTTTCCAAATGAGATGCAAAAGTTGCTCTCATCAGAAAAGAGGACTTTGGACCACTGAGCAACAGACCAGTTCTGTTTTTCTTTAGCCCAGGTAAGACGCTTCTGACATTTTTTGTTGTTCAGGAGTGGCTTGACAAGAGGAATACAACATTTGAAGCCCATGTCCAAGATCCGTCTGTGTGTGGTGGCTCTTGATGCACTGACTCCAGCCTCAGTCCACTCCTTGGGAAAGTCCCCAACACTTTTGAATGGCCTTTTCCTGACAATCCTCTCCAGGCTGCGGTCATCCCTGCTGCTTGTGCACCGTTTTCTTCCACACTTTTCCCTTCCACATAACTTTCTATTAATGTGCACTTTGGGAATATCCAACTTCTTGTGCAATTACCTTGAGGCTTTCCCTCCTTATGGAGGGTGTCAATGATGGTTTTCTGCACAGCTGTCAGGTCAGCAGTCTTTTCCATGATTGTGATTCCTGCTGAACCAGACTGAGAGACCATTTAAAGGCTCAGGAACCCTTTGCAGGTGTTATGGCTTAATTAGCTGATTAGAGTGGGACACTTTGAGCCTAGAATATTGAACCTTTTCACAATATTCTAATTTTCTGAGATTGTGGATTTGGGGTTTTCATGAGCTGTAAGCCATAATCATCACAATTATGACAAATCACGGCTTGAACTATCTTGCTTTGCATGTAATGAGTCTATCTCATATATTAGGTTCACCTTTTGAGTTGCATTACTGAAATAAATGAACTTTTGCATGATATTCTAATTTGAGTTTCACCTGTATTGTCTAACAGGAAGTTTCTAAATTTTAATTACATTGAAAAAAGCTGGTCCAGGTTTGCAGCAACCACATGCCCATCTCCCTGCATTATTTAATAAAACTCAGAATCCTGACTCAGTTAAAATTAAATGCTAGAACTTTAAAGTAATACTCAAATAATTGGAAGCAAAATGTGAAGGGTCCTTCATGAAACACAAAAGCTTCCACTGACACCATTGAAATTTAATGAAGACGCTTTTTTCCCTTAGGCTTTTCAATAAAGTATTACAGAGAATGATAAGACTCCTTTTGAAACTGTTAATTCAAACTGATTCAAAGGGTCAATGCACCCTCACCAAATAAACATGGAAGATGAAGTTTAGGGAATACTATAAGTTGATTTTTACTTATTACCCTTCTGATTTTTTTGTGGGCAAACATTATCCAGCCCCCACTTCCACTAATTGCAATAGCTGGTTTCTATGTACCCGAAATGTGACTTACAATGGAAAGTTGCTTGATATACTCTGCTACCAATAGAACAGCCTCAAAACACGCAAACATCCCCTTCCCTGTGCAGTTCTGTACTCTTAAGGCTATCTTACCTTCAAAGTGATAATTTCTTTCAGCCTGCCAGTCATTAGCTTCCATGTTTTCCCAACATGCTTCAGCATCTGCATTTTCTGTCTCCTTGACTGGTGCTGTTCCACATACCCCTCCATGCCCGGCTCCTGGATCATTGATAAAGGAGAGGCCCCATTCATTTTGGAAGATGGCTCCCAGGTGCTGCTGCTGACTACTATCGGTTGGTGGGGGACTGCTCGGGGGTGGCACCAAGACACAGTTGGGGAGGCTATTAGTGGTGCGGACAGCTGAGGCTGGAACATGGCAGGCTTTGCCTGGTTGATCCAAGTTCTCTTTCAGCTTGCTGGCATAAGAGATCTTGGGAATGATCCTGGCACTGCTGCTATCAACTGGGAAAGCAGGAAGGGGCCGAAAGAGTGACCATGTTTCCTTCTTGGATTCCTCAGTGGTTACACTGGAGGCATTAGATATAACAGCGGGATTCTCACTGGCTTTGATAGTGCTGACTCGTTCCAATTTGGGGGAAGACAATGGGCAGGGCGAGTCAGAATAGCCGCGGCATCGATGCTGCCATTGCCCATTGGAAAGACCCTCTGGAGCACAGTGGTGGCCATTAGTGCTAGGTCCCCATTCCTTGCGGTCTGAGGGGTTGCCTCGATACATTTTGTGGTAGGCAGGACGGAAGGGCCAGCCATGATGGAAATTAGGAGAATAACGGTGGGTATGCTGAGAAGGATCTCGCTCAGACAGCTGGAGATTGCGGATGTTAAGGCTGTTGGAAGGACTCAGGGGAACACTGGGCTCATCAACTATTTCAGAACTTGCAGAGTATCCATTTGACGCCCATGATCCTGAAGGAAAGCAAATTTGAGATATATTGTCACTAACTGCAGAATATAAATACATTTCCCCCCTTTAAAATATTTCACTGAAGGTCTTTTGAGAAAAAAGCCTTTTCTACTTTCCCCTTGTAGCCACCTTTCCTATAGACTGCTGCATTACCGTGTTTCTCATATAATAAGGCCAGGTCTTATTTTTTTTTGAGCCCCCCCAAAAATGGCTAGGCCGTCTTTTCGGGGGTGACTTAATCCCCCCCCCTTGCATCTTCGGGCGGGCGGGCAGCAACGTTTTGGATGTTGACCTCAGCGTTGGTGGGGCACTTTGTATCAGGGTCAACGCAGGCAGCACCATATCAGGGTGTGCAACAAAAGTACTTCCTAACAGCAAACCCCCCCACCATTCCTCCCCATTTCGCATGTTTTAATATAGGCCTTAATATGGTGGGAAGGGCTTAATTTCATTTCATGCCTATAAAACATGCTGGGACTTCCTATTGGGGGAGGCCGTATTGTTGGAGAAACAGGGTAGCATTAGAAGGTTCAATAGAAGGTGCTAAGTCATTTCAGTCTAGCATCCATCTATTTGTATAAGACATTTTGTTCCGAGACCGTGCAACACCTCTTCAGGGTTATAGTTACTTCTCAAGGTGGAATGGGAGAATGTCCAATGGCTAGAGCTCTCATTCATTAAAAAGCCGCCCCTGAAGCTGCTAAATCTCCCAAGTAATATTACAATTTGCAAGAAAAATAAAGGTGTTGCCATTGCAAAATAAGTTGAAGAATTTCTGTGCTATGATGTGGGGTTCAACAAATGTTTAAATCTAAAACAGATTTTACTCAGCACCTGTTTATTTTCCTTGTCATTTTGCTCTCCATGATAAGAAACTTCTAACCTAGACACTTTTGGATTAACAGAATGCAAATCGGTCAATGAGCTATCTTCACATTCTGGTCAGAAAAGCATCCTATCTCTCAGCCCAAACAAGGACTCAGGATACAATTCTGGAGGAAGTTTGAAAAAACCATCGAACAGGTTGGTGGGGAAGGAACTTTTCTTCTTCCTTTGCACATGGCACAGAAGCAAGACAGAAAAATGGGAGACATGGAGTGATTCCTCTATCAGTTCACTAGCTTAATGCTTTTCCTAATCAGTAATGCAAACTGATCAAGTTGCTAAACACAAGGCTTTCATGTCAAAGCTCATGACATAAACTCAAACCTTTCAATTCCCTTCAAGAGATAACAATGTCTTCATATCACAATCCTGAACCCCACTCCAGCAAATTAGGAAACCACAAAATAAAACCAAGTGTTCAAAGGAGACTAAACTTATTCTAAACAAACCACTTTTTCCCATTAGTATGTTGGAAGAGAAGGTTGATTTAAATGTTTTATATGCCAAATCAGTACATAAGCTAAAGTAGCAGACAGCTGCACCTTTTTCAATAGACAAGAAAGGATGCATCTACCATAATATACTAGATTTTTTTGAAGTATTTTCATGGCCACTGCAGTAAAGCCATCTCCAGTCAAAAGATAGAGAGGAATAAAAAAGGGAAAGGGGGAACACCCCTGTTCAGTACAAAAGCATGATCTTCCTGCTAAATAAGAGGAAGGAGGCTTTGCTTTCCCTGGCATCAAAGATAAGAAACCTTTACAAGTCAGGTTTTAAGGCAATGACTCAAACAGAAGACACTAAACCAGAGGTCTCCAAACTTGGCAACTTTAAGACTTGTGGACTTCAACTCCCAGAATTCCTCAGCTATTAAGAAATTGTGGGAGAAGGGATGATTTAGGAAGTTCATAATTAGTCAGCAATGAGAGAAGCCCATGGTGCTGTAGAAAGGCCAATTGGTGATTTAGAGTAAGACTAATATTGAGTCTATTAAGAAACAGCAATGCAAAGTAGCTAGCTTGGAGGGATTCCACTCTGAACGTAGTTTATTTTTAAGGAAAAAGCAACAACTAAAATATGAGCACTCTTATACTGAGGAAAGCCATTGATCAGAGTAATTCCTTAGGCTTACACATTAAGAGGGCTCATGCAAAAATTTGGTGAAGGGTAGTGAAGCTAAAAAGAAGCTCCTTTGGGAGCACAACTGAGAAACCTTTTAACAGTTAATGCCCAAACCAAATTGCAAAGACCTGGATTTTTGCAAGCCTTGTAACAGATTCAAACAGTTTAAAATATAACATGTTGGCCAGTGGCTAAGTTACCTGTTCGGATACGGTTGTTGAGATTATGGCATTTCTCCTTTCCTCCCAGGAGATGCAGCTCTTCCTCTGGGTTGCAGTTCTCATCCATGCCCAGTTCTTCTTTCTGCATGGCCTCTTACCTGGGCTTGGATCAAGGAGGTGAAAGATACTGAACACCAGAGACCTGACTGAAGTCCAGCTCCAATCCCTGCTTTTTAAAGAAAATATAAGCTTCCTGATGATGACACTTTCTACACTGTTGAACAGTTCTCTAACAAGATTGGGAACTATGCCACTTGTTCGAAACTACAAAAAGCCAAACTGTAGAAGTTTCTCCAGTGAAGTCCTTAGATTTCTTGCCCTGCTCTTTCAAATTTGCGATGCTTCCAGAGAGCAGAGCGTTAAATGGGTTATCTAGTATGGTACCCACGCTTGTTGTTCTTCACCGTGCCTTTTCCTTCAACACCCTAAACTTTCCCCCCTAGTAAAACTACCTCATACAAACTCTTGTACAAAGCTTACAAAACACACATATGGAGCGGATTCCCTAGTCTCTAGCTCAGCGGCCTCAAAAAACTCAGTTCTCCCTTCCAGCGTTACTCAGCACCAAGTCCGCGATCCCCCATCGGAATCTACCTCTCTGCGGGACCGCCTAAAAAACGCCTCTTCCCTCTCCGAGGATTTTCCTCGCGCCCCACACCCAATACGACTTCCACCCTTTCTTTTCCCAGAGCTCTGCTGCCCTCTAGAGCGGCTCCCAAAAGCCCGACCCAAGCCTCTTCCCCGCTTTTTCGTAGGGCTGGCGGATTTCCGTTATGGTGCGTCCGCTCCTTCGGGTGTCTCTCACCCCGATTCGTCCGCGGGAGACCCAGCTAAACTCCTCCCCCCCCCCCCCCCCCCCCAGCCCCACCTCCGGCTCCCCCGAAAAAGACTGCCAGAAATCTCGACCTGAAAACCGAAAACACTCCCCTCGAAGAAAGCCCCAAAGCGAAGCAGCGCCCTAGCTTTGCTCCAAGGCTCCCGCTGCCCCACCCTGACCTTCAGAACCGGGCCCTGCTGCGCTCTAGGTTCCCTGCTGCCGCCCGTCGCTTTCCTCAGGCCCAGGCGATCCTTCCCCCCCCCCCCCCCCCCCCCCCCCCCCCCCCCCCCCCCAACCGTCACATTCAGCCAGCCAGGCCCCGCCACGTGACCGGCTTCCCTTTAGCCTACTCGGATCATGTGACCTCCAGCGCAGGGTGGCTTCCGGGGTGGACTCTTTAAGCACGTGGCCCAGCCTCGTCCCGTGATTCTCCTGGTATTAAGTGGCCGTGGGAGGGTGAGGCTCTGTAGGTCGAGCTGGTGCGGTTTTTTTCCAAACTTGTCAAACCTTTCCCATACGAAGGTTGTGCGCCTAAACCAGATTCACACGATGCTTCCTGCCCAGGCTTTTGTGCATAGTTGCTCCCCTCTGTGGTCTGTGCAGTAGAATGTGCTAGCCTAAAGTCACCGTGTAACCTTCCCGGGCGTGAGTAGAACCTGGGTCTGCCCACTATTACATGAACGCCTCAGTTCCTACGCCACCTGGCTCCGAATAGTTTCCACCCCTAGTGGATCGGCCCCACCACATCCAGCAATCAGCTGCTCTAGTAGACTGGAATTGAAACTCGAAATATTAGAATATCATGCAAAAGTTCATTTATTTCAGTAATGCAACTTAAAAGGTGAAACTAATATATGAGATAGACTCATTACATGCAAAGCAAGATAGTTCAAGCTGTGATTTGTCATAATTGGGATGATTATGGCTTACAGCTCATGAAAACCCCAAATCCACAATCTCAGAAAATTAGAATATTACATGCAATCGATAAAAAAAGGATTGTATATAGAGCAATATCGGACCTCTGAAAAGTATAAGCATGCATATGTACTCAGTACTTGGTTTGGGCCCCTTTTGTAGCAATTACTGCCTCAATGCGGCGTGGCATGGAAGCTATCAGCCTGTGGCACTGCTGAGGTGTTATGGAAGACCAGGATGCTTCAATAGCGGCATTCAGCTCTTCTGCATTGTTCGGTCTCATGTCTCTCATCTTTATCTTGGCAATGCCAGATAGATTCTCTATGGGGTTCAGGTCAGGCGAGTTTGCTGGCCAATCAAGCACATTAATCCCATGGTCATTGAACCAGGTTTTGGTGCTTTTGGCAGTGTGGGCAGGTGCCAAGTCCTGCTGGAAAA